ATCATCATCATCATCATCATCATCAGCAGCATCATCATCCTCATCCTCATCCTCATCCTCATCCTCATCCTCATCCTCATCCTCATCCTCCTCTTCCTCCTCCTTTTCTCATTCGTCCTGCTCCTCCTCCTCCTCCTCCTCCTCGTCCTCCTCCTCCTGCTCCTCCTCATCATCATCACCCTCCTCCTTCTCCTCCTCCTCCTCCTCCGCCTCCTCCTACTCCTCCTCATGCTTCTCCTCTTCCTCCTCCTCCCCATGGGGGACAATAGCGTATGCACTCAGACCTCTCGGAGGACCCCTCGGGGCCAAATGCCCCTCATTGCGGCTGCTTCTGATCGGGGCAGTGCGCCGGGGGTCGAAGGTAGCCCCACGGCGCGTGCACGCTCTGGCAGTCGAGAAACCTGGCAAACACAACAAAGCGTCCTTAGGATCCGCGCCCCTCAAGAATGCTCTCGCGCGTCGAGCTGGCAGACGAGGGATCCCATGAGCTACACTGCCACTGATACTCGTTCAATACACCACAACGCAACGATGATTATGAACTCCACCTGTATGCACTGCAAATCACGACAGCATGGCTTTGCCGCAGCGCGAGATGGAGGGGCGACTGGCCGTCGTCGCACCTTACGCGCCCGCATGCAGCACTCTCCAGAAGAGCCCTGAGACAAAAAGACAAGACTGGCACCCAAAAGCGATCCCTACGAGGAAGGGCGACAAGCCCGCGCGACACCCGACACCCAATTACGCAGTCTTTCCACTGCTACTGATGAGGAGGAGGGAGGACGGAGGAAGGAGGAAGGAGGAAGGAGGAAGGAGAAAGGAGGAAGTATGAGAAAAATAAAAAAGAGGAGCAGGGCGGAGGAGAAGGAGGAGGAGCAGGAGGAGGGGAAGGAGGAGGAGGAGGAGGAGGGGAGGAGGAGGAGGAGGGAGGAGGAGGAGGAGGAGTAGGAGGAGGAGGAGGGAGGGAGGAGGAAGGAGGAAGGAGGAAGGAGGAAGGGGAAAACAGAAGGAGGAGAAGGAGGAGAGGGAGGAGGGGGAGGAGGAGGAGGAGGAGGAGGAGCAGCAGCAGGAGGCGAAGGAGGAGGAGTAGAGCGGAGGAGGGGAGGATGAGGAAGGAGGAGAGGGGTGAGAGGAGGAGGAGGAGGAGGAGGAGGAGGAGGAGGAGGAGGAGGAGGAGGAGGAAGGCCTGGGGGAGGGGAAAGGACGCGGCGGCGCCTCCGGGTGCTCCCGGGGCCCCGGGGGGGCGTACTGCAGCGCGTCCCCGTTGGCGCGGACCGCCGCGGCGACGAAACCGAGGTCCTGGGGCCCAGGGGAGCGGCCGGGAGGCGAGCGCCGAGCGGACGCCCCGCCAGCAGGAGCAGAGAGAGGAAGGAGAACTATGCACATACTGTTGGGCTTGATTCCCACAAACACCACCATGAGTGGGAGGGGGAGGGGGTCCTCCTCCTCCTCCTCCTCCTCCTCCTTCTCCGCCCTCCTCATCCGCCTCCTCCTCCTCCTCCTCCTCCTCCTCCTCCTCCTCCTCCTCCATTTCCTTTCCTGATAAATAATTATACTCGACTGGGATATAGGGCTATCGGGCTATAGGGCTATAAGGCTACAAGGCTATAGGGTTACAGGGTTATAAATTATAAGGGTATAGGGCTATAGGGTTGTAGGGCTATAGGGCGATTGGGCAACAGGGCTATAGGACTGTAGGGCTATGGGGGTTTCAGGCTATGGGGCAATAGAGCTATAGGGCTATAGGGCTATAAAGCTATAAGGCTATAGGGCTATAGGGCTATACGGCTATACGGCTATACGGCTATACGGCTATAGGGCAACAGGGCTACAGGGGTATAGGGCTATAGGATTATAGGCTTATAAGGCTATAAGGCTATACGGCTATGGGGCTATTGGGCTATCGGGTTATAGGGTTATTTGGGCTATAGGGCTATAGGGCTATAGGGCTATAGGGCTATAGGACTATAGGGCTGCAGGGCTATAGGGCTATCGGGCTATAAGGCTACAAAGATATAGAGGGCTATAGGGCTATAGGGCTATAGGGCTATAAGGCTAGCCAGGCACCCGGGCACCCCGGCACCTGGCCCGGCCACCGAAATCGGCGGCACAGCTCACCTAACCATATGAATCCGCCAGGACCCCTACAGAGGCAAGCTCTGATTGGGGAACTTCTCCCTGTCGCACCCCGAGGCCAGTTTTTAGGGCGGGCCGGGCATTGCGCCTGAGAGCTCCTTATGACTCTGAAGCCTAAAAATGGAGGGCGGCTCGTTTTCACAATGTGGCTCTCGCTTTAGCGCAGCGCACATTCGTTAAAAATTGCAAGAGCTTCACGGATTGAGGGCGTGTGGTTTTCAAACTGTGGCCCTGGCATTTGCGCGGCGAAAATTTCATTTCAAAACTTTGCAGGAGTATTTTCAAAATGTGGCTCTCGCCTCAGCCCAGCGCACGTTCGTCTTAAAAATGTGCAAGAGGTTCACGGGTTGAGGGCAGCTCCTTTTCAAAATGTGGCTCTCGCCTTAGCGCCGCGCACATTCGTTTGCAAAACTCGCAAGAGTTTCAGGCAATCCCATCGTCAAGGTGCCAAAAAGTGTGTTTTGAAAGGATTCAGGATTACGCGGGTGAAACAGTTCTGTTCGCTCGCTGTGTTGAAGTTCCAAGAATGGCGTTCTGGCACGAATTCAGGACTGTCAAGACGCAACAGTCAGGTTGATCCGTGGCCTTGGAATCCCGAGAACAATGTTTTGGTATTCTTCAGGGTCTTCAAACAGTTGTCTTCCAAAAAGGCAATTCCCTCAACGGTAATGAACCGTTGTAAAGGGCCTTTGAAGAGGGAGCTTGGAGGGAGGATTCATTCCAACATCGTTGATGACTCTTGGGTTTACCCTCGTCCTCCACCTCCTCCTCCACCTCCTCCTCCTCCTCCCTCTGCTCCCTTCCCTCTACTCCCTCCTCCTCCTCCTCCTCCTCCTCCTCCTCCTCCTCCTCCTCCTCCTCCTCCTCATCATCATCATCATCATCATCATCATCATCATCATCCACCTGATTCCCCCCAAATCTCTTATGGTGGTGGTGGAAAACAGGCCCACCACACACACCAATTCCGGCCAGGCCCATCCTGAGCCCAGGACCGGTGCACACACACGCCCTCCTGCCTGTGCCAGAAAGGCATGTGCACCGATCCTGGGCCGAGAACGGGCCTGGCCAGGGTCGGCGCATGTGCACAAGTCTCTTCGCCCGAGCAGACAGCAAGCCGAGGAGCCCATGCCATCGCAGGCCCGCGCGGAGGTGCGGGCTCGAGGTCCACGGGCGTCCCGGCGCTCTCGCCGGTCCTCGGCGGCATGCCAGCCTCGGGAGGGGCCCCGGCGGCTGTGGACGCCTCGCCGAGAAGCGTCCGGGGGCACCAAGATCACCAGGAGGGGCGATCATAGACCCGAGTGCCAGGACCCGAGAACCAAGCTCGACGACGCGCCCCGGGGGGGAGGCAGAGGTGGAGGGCCTTCTTGGAAGACTCGGAGGCCCCCTCTCCGAAGGCACGGACGGCCCCTCGGAGGGCCAGAGGGCCCTCTGAGAGGCGCCGCCGCCCTCTGAGAAGGCCTGTCCCCTCGCACGTTGTCCGAGCTGCTACTCTGCCAGTAAGCATAAGCATGAGCCTAGGCAGGTAAGCCGGCATAAACGCACATAAGCCTAAGCCATGGGCAAGCACAAGCATCAGCCAATAAACATAAGCATAGCCAAGAAAAGCTGCACAAGCATGAACCTTCTCAGGTCCGCGCGGACTTCTTGGATCGGCGCTGGACACAACCGGCGGCGCCTCCAACGTCGCCCCTGGCGCGCGGAGCGGAGCATTCCGCGCGGGCTTCCGATGGTTTTTGCTGATGCCGTATTTTCTCATTCCAATGAACATCCACATCTACAACCTCCTCCTCCTCCTCCTCCTCCTCCGCCGCCTCCTCCTCCTCGTCCTCCTCCTCCTCCTCCTCCGCCTCCTCCTCCTCCGCCTCCTCCTCCTCCTCCTCCTCCTCCTCGTCCTCCTCCGCCTCGTCCTCCTCCGCCTCCTCCTCCGCCTCCTCCTCCTCTTCCTCCTCCTCCACAATTACTCAATATGAATACTACTCTCCCTCTTCCCCTGATGACGGTTTGAAAGTGGCCGACCCCCCCCGCGTACTGTTTTTTTACACACAGGTTTCCCCGGAATTGGGTTTTCGCCTGCATCTTTTTTCAAAATGCTGCTCTCGCTGAGGCGCCGGCCTCATTTTCGGGCCCCGCTCGTTCCGAATCGTGCTCCCGCTGCAGCGCTGGCCTCATTTCCGTGCTTCCGCTCGTTCCGAATCGTGCTCCCGCTGCAGCGCTGGCCTCATTTCCGCGCTTCCGCTCGTTCCGACTCGTGCTCCCGCTGCAGCGCTGGCGTCATTTCCCGTGCCATGCCACGGCATGCAATGCAATGCTAGGTTGATACTTTGCGCAGTGCTCTTCTACGCCATGCCATGGTGCTCTACAATGCATCGCGTACCCTTTCGGGATCATTGCCCTGCTCGACATCCGACTGTGCGAGTAGAGAGGGGATCTGCGCCATGGTAAGGGATGGGAGGGAGGGGTAGGATGTCAGATATGACGCGAGCGCACCTAGCTTGTCCTCCTCCCCCGCCTCCTCATCCTCCTCCTCCTCCTCCTCCTCCTCCTCCTCCTCCTCCTCCTCCTCCCTCCCTCCTCCTCCTCCTCCCCTCCTCCTCCTCCTCCGCCTCCTCCGCCTCCTCCGCCTCCTCCGCCTCCTCCGCCTCCTCCGCCTCCTCCGCCTCCTCCGCCTCCTCCGCCTCCTCCTCCTCCGCCTCCTCCTCCTCCTCCTCCTCCTCCCCAGGACCCCGACGTCGTAATGTATGCCACAACGAGGGCCCCGCGAGGTCTGGGTCCCCTCCCCTGAACTGGTTTTTCATCCTCAGTCGTTGTTGACTGCCTTGGGGCCCGGAGGAGATCCCCCGAGACAGCAGAAACGATTAGATAATGGTAATAGAATATCACGTGCTGTGTTTCCCCTCGACGCGACGGGGTCTGGATCCTCCTCCTCTCCTCCTCCTCCTCCTCCCCTCCTCTCCTCCTCTCCTCCATCATCATCATCATCTCAATCATCATCATCATCCCACACCCTCCCCTCCTCCTCCCCCCCCTCTACCTCCCTCCTCCCTCCTCCTCCTCTCCTCCTCCTCCTCCTCCCTCCCTCCTTCATCATCATCCCCCTCTCCCCCCCCCCTCTCCTCCTCCTTCTCCTCCTCCTCCTCTCTCCTCCTCCTCCTCCTCCTCTCCCCCTCCTCTCCTCCCTCCCTCCTCCTACCTCCTCCTCCTCCTCCTCCTCCTCCTTCCCCCCCCTTCTCCTCCTCCTCCTCCCTCCTCCTCCTCCTCCTATCCTCCTCCTCCTCCTCTCCTCCTTCCCTCCTCCTACTCCTCCTCCTCCGCCGCCGCGCCGCCGCCGCGCGCCGCCGCCGCCGCCGCCTCCGCCTCCGCCTCCGCCTCCGCCTCCGCCTCCGCCCTCTCCCCCCTCCTCCTCCGCCTCTCCTCCTCCTCCTCCTCCTCCTCCTCCTCCTCCTCATCCTCCTCCTCCTCCATCGTCCTCCTCCTCCTCCTCCTCCTCCCCCTCCTCCTCCTCCTCGCCCTCCTCCTGACCGGTCGCTCCTCGAGCAGGATGGGGTGGGCGTGGACCAGCGCCGAGGGCCTCGCGCGGGGAGGCGGGGGGGGGCGCGAGGGGCGGGCGAGGCCGCGCGAGGCGTGAAGGAGGAAGACGAGGACCTCGTCGCCAGCTGCCCCCTGACCCGATCACCTCGCTCGATACGTATGTGGTCGAGTCTTGTGAGGTGCCGATGGGTCCTGGGGTGTTTTGCTAGGTGGCGGACTTGCAGCAGGCAGCTGGATAAGCATTAACATGCTGATAGAATTTATGGACTGAGGGACAGCTGCTGTCCTGACAACATCCTCGCAATGCCGGTGTGGCACGACAGCGATTCTGCGCATTCCACACTGGGTAATCCAAATAACGGTCGATGTCAAATGTTGGAAATTGTTTGCTCATAGTGGCCAACATATCCGTGGGACTTGCCAGCTGAACAGTGCGAACGCTGTAGCTTGCAAGTACTTACACGGATCGAATCACAACGTGTTGCCATGCACTGTCAAGTCAGTCAAAAAAAAACGATTCTCGAGATCCATATGTGTTTGGAAATTCCACTCGCGTTGATTACCATGAGCCGTGGTGCAGCGAATGTGTAAGCACCCAAGCTGCCGCCAGAAAACGATTGACCCGATGTATTAACATTCCTAGCACTAAGACGCAACGGGAATTACTGTTCACTCCTATCCGATCCTCCAATTCGACTTTGCACTCGTCGCCGGCTCGATCCCCCCTGGGTAGTTGGCGGGGTGAATGATACCGTATAGCCTACGCCCTCCCGCTTGGATTAATTTGCTTTCGATGTACCCAAAGCCAAGTCATCAATCGCAATGGAACGACTTTCACTATTCTGACAACATGTTCGGTAAATCGAGTAGGCCCCTGTACATGAGCTCGGCATGAACGTAGTTGCAGGAACAGGCTTCAAACACGGATTCTGGCTCGGCGATGGATACTCAAATCAGGGAATTACACACCAGAGATGTTACGCTGACAATGCGTTCAAACATAATGTGCAGGTTTTCGATGTGGACCTCTTAAGTTTCCCGACGTGTGCCAGGGTACTCGTGAGAACGATTGCCGATCTGGTATTCGTTCTCACGCACAAACGTTGAGATAAAGTACAGCAAGGCAAATCAACACGCATCCGAAGCAACCAGGGTTTGATGGGAAAGATGTTATAGCGTCGACGCCTTAGGGAAGGCGGGGCGGGCTGGGGGGGAAATGAGGGAGGGGAAGCGAAAGGATGGGAAAAGGGAAAGAGAAGACAATGTCCCACGCCAGTTCCTTTCCATGGTCTCCCTCTCGCCTGGGTTGTCCCATGATAGGGGCGAAACTACGTGCTGCCGAAAATGAACCTTCGGCTATGGAACTACGTATGGGATGGCTGAAGCTCCCGTTGGTCCTGAATCCACTGGAGTTTCGCAAGACGTCTAAGCCCGGACCCTTCGCCTCGTCGCCATGCTGACCTGTAGTGCACTCCTCGTAGAGCCCTCAGCACTCGGGCAACCTGACAAGGATGGGGCGATGTGGAGAGGAAGGTGGAGGTGGAGGAGACGGATATGAAGGAAGAGGAACCTTTTCACAAACCGCGCGACGGATCCACACAACATTCTGCTCACGAGCAGCTCGTGGGTGCTGTGAAAGCCGGGGATGGACCCGACGTAACGCCCGCACGGGCAAAACACGCTGATCCGCCCCTTCGAGCCTGCCCCGAATTCAATCCAGGAGATCAAACGGGCTGGCGCGCCGTTAGAAGATCCGCCGACTTAGCTCGGAGCGGGAGACCCGCGGGAGGGGCTGCTTCGCGCGCGCCGTGGTCTAGTTTTAGGTCAGGCATGTCCTCCTACAGGCGGATTGTGGACGAGAAATTGGACAGGACGGGAGGAGGACGGGAGGAGCAAAATCAAGCAAGCACAAGCAAGCAAGCGGAAGCAGGCAAGCGCAAGCGAGCAATAACAAGCAAGCAAGAGCCAGCGATCAAGTGCAAGCAAGCAAGGGCAAGCAAGGGCAAGCAAGCGAGAGCAAGTACACAAGAGCAAGCAAGCAACTGCCATTGGAAAAAGGGGGTGCCATTGGAAAAAAGGGGGGGCATTGGAAAAAGGGGGGTGGGGGCTAAAGACCAATTACTTCTGATGAGCTAGCACCCAAAAAGGGCAAGCCTATTTGGCTAATTGTCAAAAATATGTTCAAAACAAAAAAGAACGTCCACTGACTATGTTTTACTATCTTTGAACTGTTCTCCTGTAGAGGGACCGTCCCGACTTCAGTCCAGTCCTTGAAGATTCGCGCGCGAGCCTCGGCCTCGAGAGGCCCGAACAGAGGTCTGCACATCTCGTCGTCAAGCTTCGAACCTCTGAAGAGCACGTCTGAGCCTCCTCCTCTGCTCTGATGTTCTCAAAGAGGCCCAAGGACACACAGAGACATACACACAAAGTCCAGGATTCCCCATATGTTCCCGTATTTTCTGGGCCTTCGTCTTCCCCCCCCACCCCATTCCCCATGTTTCCAAATATTTTCCTGGGAATCGACGATTCATTGTGTCTGTGTTTTTTCCCCTCCTGAGTTCCGGGGAACGAACCCCAGAGTCGACGGAACAGGTCTTGAGGAGAAGGCTTGAAAGGATCGAATCCTTGAAAATGGTTGTTGCCGTCGATGGGGCCGTCCTGGGCCGTCTCGGAGCCCATGTGAGCCGCCTTGGAGCCACCTCGGGCTGTATTATCTGAAAGCCCACCGCACGCGCCCAGGAGGGCCAGAAGTCGCCCAAAAGGGGGGGCAAGAGGCCCGCCGGTACTCGAATGTGAGTTCTTTTGTTCGGCGTTTCGACATTGGGCGGAAAGGGGGGGGTTCTGGCTCTGGACCTCTGCTTAGTGCGACTGCTTGCAGCAGTGCGGCCGATGGGGGAGGGACCCCACCTGCTCGAAGCAGGCGCCAAAAACCGCCAAGATCTACTCCATAAGGGGGGGGGGAGGGGGGGGGGGCAGCAAGGGCCCGCGCCGATCGGCAAGACAACGAACAAGAGAACGCCCACGTATCAGGGCCCCCATGGCCTGTCTCGAGCGCCTCTGGAGGCGTCTTGGGGCCTGGGCTTAAGTCGGGCCTGTCCCCCTACAGGGGGATTTTCGGATTTTCGACGAAGAAAAAAAAATCCAAAAATAGTCAAAAAAACAGTCCAGGGACTATGTTTTTTGAGTATTTTTTGACCTCTCTGGAGTATTTTTGGAATATTTGGTGTCTTTCGGCGAAAATCCCCCTGTAGGGGGACACGCCCGACATAAGCCTGGGCCGTCTGCAGCTCCCCGAGGCCAGCTTGGGGGGCGCGGGGGGGCCCCTCGGCACCGCCGGGGGCGGTGGCGCGAGCGCGCGGGGCGCCGGCCTGGAGCCCCGGCAGAGGCCGGGCTGGGCCCCCGGCCCCCCCCCCGGGACCGGGAGGGCCCCGAGAGTCCCCCACGACGCTCCAGGCTGAAGGGGCCCTGGAACACACCAAGAAATATACACACAAGTGAATTCCCCGACATTTTCCCATATCTTCTGGATTTTTGTTTTCCCCCACACTTCCCATATTTTTTCCCACATTTTCTGGGGAATCGACGATTCATTGTGTCTGTGTGTTTTTTCCCCTCCTGACAGGAGGGCCCCGAGTCGCTCCAGGATCGCTCCCTGACCCCACGGCCTCAGGACGGCCCAGGGCGCTCCTAGAGCGCCTCCCGCAAGAGGGCCCCGAGGGGCAGAGGCATCGGCTGCCTGCTGCGGTTTTCAATGACTTTAGCGCTCTCGCCCTTTCGGACTTCCGGCCGCCCACGATGGCCACATGGGCACCCGCGATCACTCCAAGACGGCCCGAGACGCCGCCAAGAGGCCCTTGAGACGGCCCCCGAGGGCCACAAGACGGCCAAGAGTCCCCAAGGACGGCCCCAACTGGACCCCAGGGGGGGGAACTCGAGACCGCCAGCAGGCCCCCAAGAGGCCCCCAGGAGGCCCCCAAAGGTCGGGCCGCAGGAGGCCCCCAGAGAGGCCGCCAGGAGGCCCCAGGGCCCCCTGTGAGCCGCCTGCAGGAAGCTTCTGAGAAGCCTCCCCAGAGATCCCCACGGGCACGAAAAGGAAGGATGAAACTGGCAGTAGGCGTCCTTTGGCCTTGCCGCATGCTCCCTGGCCTCCAGCCGGGGCGAGCCAGGTCAGCCCGCTCGGAGGCCTCCGTGGCACGAGGGAGGCGTCTGTCCTGCAGCCCGGGCACGGTGCCGGAGTGGGCCGGAGGCCACCCGAAGCAACTCCGCGGTCGTGAAAAAGGGTAGGGTCGAGCGCAGTCTGAGGGCCGGGTCCGACCCTGGCCTGCGATGGGCTTTGAAGAAGCAGGGTCCACCACTCCGCACCGAACATCAGGCAAGATGAACCCCGCGCGACCCCAGTTAGGAGTTTCCTGTCTTCCACAGCACTTCAAAGCAGTTCTGAGCAGTGCAGCGCAGTGCCAGACGAAGCATGGCCTGGCACTGCTGAGCGTGGCTTGGCGTTGCTTCACATTGTGCGGCATTGCTTGGCGTTGCTCGGCATTGTTGGCGTTGCTTGGCATTGATTGGAATCGTTGCTCGGCATTGCTCCGCGTTGCTCCGCATTGCTTGGCATTGCTTGGCACTGCTCCACATTGCTTGGCGTTGCTTGGCGTGGTTTGGCGTTGCTTGGCATTCCTTGGCATTGCTCCGCATTGCTCTGCATTGCTCTGCATTGCTTGGCACTGCTTGGCAGTGCTTGGCATTGCTTGGCAATGCTTAACATTGCTTGACCTTGCTTAGCGTTGCTTGGCGTTGCTTGGTATGTCGTTGATTATATTTGCATTGCTTGGCATTGCTTGGCAATGCTTGGCGGTGCTTGGCATTGCAAAGACCGGGGAACCCAAGAAACAAGGCCAGGGAACCCGAGGAACAAGACCCGGGAACCCAGGACGAGGAGGCATGGGAGGAGACCAAGGGAGCCGAGCAAGGACCAGGGAACACAAGGAAACCAAGATCGGGGAACCGGGCAAGGCTGGGGCCCACCTTTGGATTGGGGGGTGGCACCCACTGGAACTTCACAAAACAAGGACGAACCCCGCAGGCAAGGATTGATCGGGGAAAAAACTGCGGAGACTGTCGACGATCGCTACCGAAGGCCCCTGCTGGCCCCTTCTCGCCAGGACCTCTGCGCGGGATGCCGCGGCCACCTCGACAGGAACGAGCAGGCAGTAATCTGCAACCATGTTCGGGGAGGTTCTCTATCATCCACTAGAGCAGACTCTCAAAGAGGCATTCTTGAAACATGGGGGCCGGGCGTACTCTGAAGGCCGCGCTGGATCCGTGCCTGCGATGGGTTTCAAAGACAATGGGACCGCCACACCCCATTGGACCTCGTACAAAGATGAATAATCGGAGACAAGCCGTGCCTGACGCCCGCACTCTTGCCTGCGAACGCCTCTAAGAATGGCAGGGCCACCACCTTGAAAAAAAACTACAAAATTAGAATCAACACCCATGCTCGAGGATTTGCGCTATCATCACTGAGGCAGACTCTCGAGGTGGGCCAAATGATTAAAACGGTGGGGCCGAGCGCAGTCCGAGGCCCTGCTGGACCATTGCCTGCGATTGGCTTGACAGAGGGCGGGGCCGCCACCCCCCGTCTTCAGTTCAAATATGAAGACTCCCGCCTGTGAAGGGTGAGACAAACGCCCCCCCTCCCCCCATTGTTCACTGTTGGCGGCGGGTCTGATGAGAGGCAGTTCGACCGCAGTCTCCCCCGCGCGTGCCAACATTGAGTTCGGGGGGGACGGGGAGGGTTCAGTAATTGTTTCCCTCTACCGTCTCATTTTCTAGTTTACCCCGTCAATTGCGAATTGGCCGAGCGATTCTGCGGGCAAGGATTTCTGCAAAACCATTATGAGATACATATATGTATACCTATACATGTATATGTATGTGTACACATGCATGTATATAAATATCACATGTTTTTAATGTTTTGGCGCCCGAGTCGTCCCGCGCCTCATTCGTCGCGCATCATTCGTACCACTCGCCCCTTCACTCCTTATTTTCACATATTACTCGTATCACTCGTAGAAAGGATATAAGATTATTGAACTGCTTCTTTTTATTACGAGTGATCCGAGCAATATGTGAAAAATACGGAGTGCTGGGACGAGTGATACGAGTAAGACGCGAAAACCAAGGTGGGACGCGCGAAGCGCATGCGGGGGGGCCCGGGGCCATTAGGTAGGCGCTAAACATGACAACATGCAGCCGCTTTGGCCGTTTCTTGCTTGGCGCCTAGACGTCGTCGTCGTTGTCAGTCGGCCGCCGCCGTGGTTCGTCGTAAAGTCGAAAATCAAAGTGTCCAGTTCGACTTGCCCCTGTCTGATTCAGTCCGGGGTAAGTCCACGGTTGACGGTTTGATTTTCGCAATGATTGAGACGACTCCCCCCCAGTCCTCCCCTCGAACATTTTCCCGTGTACCTCTCCCTGTACTCCTGCGCCCCAATCAGTTCGCGTGCAGCCACGTCCCGGGCAGCACACCCACAGGCCTCGGAACAAATTAGCGAACACTCATGCCACATTCATCTGTCAACGCCTCCCCCTCCCCCCATTGTTCACTGTTGGCGGCGGGTCCGATGAGATGCACGTCGACCGCAGTCTCCCCCGCGCGTGCCAACATTGAGTTTGGGGGGGAGGGGGAGTGTTCAGTAACTGTGTCCCTCTACCATCTCATTTTTAAGTTTACCCCGTCAACTGCGAATTGGCCGAGCGATTCTGCGGGCAAGGATGTCTGCGAAGCCATTATGAGATACATATATTTATAAAAAATGTATGTATAGTTATGTGTATATATGTATGTACATATCCCACTTTTTAATGTGTTGGCGCCCGGGTCGTCCCGCGCCTCATTCGTCGCGCATTACTATCACTCGCCCCATCACTCCTTATTTTCACATATTACTCGTATCACTCGTGGAAAGAAAATGCTATTATTCAGCTTACTCCTGTTCTTACGAGTGATACGAGTAGTGTGTGAAAAAATAAGAAGTGTTGGGACGAGTGATTCGAGTAATACGTGAAAAACAAGGTGGGATGCGCGAAGCGCCTCCATGGGGCCCCAGGGCCGTTGGGTAGGCGCTAAACATGACAACATGCAGCCGCTTTGGCCGTTTCTTGCTTGGCGCCTAGACGTCGTCGTCGTTGTCAGCCGGCCGCCGCCGTGGTTCGTCGTAAAAACAGAAAAAAAGTGTCAAGTTCGACTTGCCCCTGTCTGATTCAGTCCGGGGTAAGTCCACGGTTGATGGTTTGATTTTCGCAATGATTGAGACGACTCCCCCCCAGTCCTCCCCTCGAGCATTTTCCCGTGTACTTTCCCCTGTTCTCCTGCGCCCCAGTCAGTTCGAGTGTAGCCACGTGCCAGGCAACATACCCACAGGCCTCGGAACAAATTACCGAACACTCATGCCACATTCATCTGTCAACGCCTCCCCCTCCCCCCATTGTTCAATGTTGGCGGTAGGTCTGATGAGATGCACTTCGACCGCAGTCTCCCCCGCGCGTGCCAACATTGAGTTTGGGGGGGAGGGGGAGTATTCAGTAACTGCTTCCCTCTACCCGAAGGCGAGTATGATGACTGGCTTCCCCCCCCCTTCCTCCCCATCCTCAGGAGGTGCACAAACCCTTTGAGGGGGAGAGGCCTGGGGGGGTGGCACGAGCTCCTCAAAGCATCTCCCAGGCCTCAGAGCCTCCGAATCCTCCCTCCTACACATCCAAGGTGCCCAAGATGCCCTCCAACAGAGCTCCACAGGAGCTCCTACATGGCCACGGGGTCCCAAGACGGTTCCAAGTGGCTACACCAAAGGATGTGCCCGGCCTGAGTCGTTGTTGCCTTTCCGCATTTTCGTTGTCGTTTTCGTAATCGAGCAAGAGGGCTCCAAGAGGGCCCAAAAATCGCTCCAAAAAGGCCCCGAAGGTCTACCAAAGAGCCCAAAGAGCACCCCAAAGGGGCCAAAAGAGGCGAATGCTCGAGCGCGAAGGGGGGGGCAACGTAGGACCCTCATTTGGGACCGATGGCCTTCAGGATGGTTCCAAGATGGCCCCCACAACCCAAAAAAGCGCCCCAGGAAAGCCCCAAGAGGGTATCAAATACTCCGCAATGGGTCTGTGGAACGAGAGACCTCCAAGATGACTCTGAAGGTCTCTAAGAGGCCCTCAAGGGTCTCTAAAATCTGCTTCCCTGCTCCCGACTTTTCGCCTGGGCATCATATCTGGATGGGCTGCTGGCGATACGAGAGGCGAAAAAATACCTTCGCCCATCCGCTTTTCGATGGCCAGCGGAATGGCGCAAGACTCTTGAGTCCGCCCGCCCACCAGGCTGAGAGGCGTGTGGGATTTGACTGTATGCAAAACTTTAGCCGCTCATGTTTCCCCTTCGAGGCCCCAAAAATTTGTCGCCCAGCTGAGACATCGACCCTTTTCGGGCTCCAAGACGGCTTCCAGACGGCGTCCAAGACGAGCTCGACTTTCAGACCGCTCCCAGTACGCTCTCGGGGCGCACTTGGGCTCCGTTTCCCCCCCCCGCTTGAGGCCCCTTCTTGGCCTCCCAGAAGTCGTTGCCAGGGCCCTTGGGAGCGCCTCTTGGTCCCAACTTCGCCTACAGACTGGAGCTCCAAACATATGTCACTCACCATGTGTGCAAGGATGTCAGCCTCGCCGGAAGTTCCCTGACATCGAACGTTCGGGCTCGTCAGGGGTAAGTACAGCATGCAGACGACGGTTCTGGGTGCGCTCCGGGGTCAATTTCGGAAGATTGTGGGCCAAACTTGGGCCCAAAAACGAAGCCCAAGCCAGTCCTGAACCAGCCCCATTCTTGAAGGCAATCGGACGGTGCTGAGGCCCCGCGCGGAGGTGCTGTCGCGTGCGCCGTCCAGGAACTCCCCTGGGCCGCCTCGGGCCATTCTCGGCCCCGCTGTGAGACCCTCTAGAGTCCTCTGCGGCCCTCGTGGGCGCCTCCCGGGCCGTTGTCGGGCCGTCTCTGGCTGAACAGAGCTAGCTTACCAGCCCAGAACACATCCCTATCCCTATGTTGGGCATCGCCTCATCACGATGGCGATCTTAGGGATTCCCTCAGTTTCTGAGGGTGCATCCCTAAGATTGTCATCGCCTTTTGGCGTGTCAATCTCAGGGATCGGGATAAATTCGAGGCTGGTGACTAGCGTCCATACCACTAATCCGTTGGTACTGATGACGGGCCGACAACTAATCGACGAACTCAAAATCGCTCAGCCACACGGCATACCTGAGCCCGATCGGCGACGGGATGGAGGAGAGATGGAGCGCAGGAGAAGTGCAGAACACACCTGTAGGGGAGTCTTTCGGCATTTTCGGAACATTGTCATCCCGTTTGGGCGTCGTCTGCGCCTCTTCCGGCGAGAGCTGGAACGGGCGGGCGGTGCACGCATGGGAGCCTTGGATAAAAGTCGCTACCCCGAGCTGGGAGATCTCCGCTGCCGCCCCGGACGTGCAGAGTCCGATGGCGGGCGGTGCGCTCGAAGGGGAGGGCCGAGCGCGGTCCGAGGCCGAGCGCGGGATCCTCGTCTGCGCTTGGCTCTGCGTGGGCAACGTCTGGGGTGGTGGTGGTGGCAGTCGAATAAAGCTGACTCCTGGCAGGGCCCTTCCTGAGCCCGGGTTCGGTGCACACGCTCTCCCGGCCAAGCTGGGTAGGCAGATGCGCCGATCCTGGACACGGCATAGGCCCTGGACGGGACCTGTGCATGTGTACAGCTTTCTTCGCTCGAAGCAGGGTGCAGTGGGGCAAGCTGCACAACCTGACCGTCAGCGCCGACGCCGCCAAGCGAAGAGGGCCTCAGAAGAAGACACCAGCGCGCGCGCGCGGCGCCCTTCGGACGCGCCCGCGGCCCCCCAAAAGAATGCCGCCTGGTCCGATGCCGCAGCCTCTCCGTGACGCCTCCGCGGAGATGCTACAGCGAGATCCAGGCGCCCTGCTGCAGCTCGTAACCGTCGTTGTCGTCGTCCTCGTCGAGCGGGCCATGCTCCAACCTGACGCCCAGTGCCCGCCGCTGCTCCGCCGACAGGTCCCCGATCAGCCTCGTCGGCAGGGGCACTGCTGCGCCCAGCGCCCCTCTCCAGAGGGTGCCGCATGCGCCCAAGCCGGACGGGATCTTCGCCTGCGCGGGGCCCTCGTCGGGCGCCTCCACGGCGGCGCGAGGGTGCGGCTCGGCGCCCTCGCGCAGCTCGTCCACGTCGTCGGGCAGGCAGGCCTTCGGCTTGACCGTCAGCGCCCAGCGCTGCTCCGAGGACAGCTCCTCGGTGAAGCTGGGCGGGGACGGCACTGCTGGTCCTGGCCCCCCTGTGCGAACTGGCTCGTGCGCGCCCAGGTTGGGGCAACGTGTCATCCTGGGCTGGCATCGGATGGTCGCCTCGGACGCATCCGCGACCCTGGAGACGTGCCGCCCGGCGCCCTCGCACTGCTTGTCCACGTCGCAGCGCAGGCAAGCTGCCCTCTGGGCCATCGGGGATGAGCGGCGACCTTTTGCCACTTGGCGCCGCTTCACTGCCTGCGCCACGCTGCGCTTTGCGGCCCTGCGCCTGCGCCTGTCGTCCTCGTCGCAGATGTGGCAGAACTTGCACCGCGATCCATTCTCGCAGCCCGTGGTGTCCACGAAGGCGCACGGCTTGCAGCGGCCCTGCGCATGCAGGGCGGAGCCCTCGCTGGGGAGCGCCGCGTGCAGGGCGGCCGCCTCTTGGGGGCCCCAAGAAAGTGCGGTGACAGACCGTGCGGTGACCTCGGAATCCCTCCAGAGCTCACCGCAACGTCCGCGGCCGCACGGCCGCAAGACCTTGAAGGCGCCAGTCGCCCGAGACGTCCTCGGAGAGCGGCTCAAATCCCAAGACCGCGCGGTGACCCCGAATCCCCACTGACTCACCGCACGGTGCGGCCACCGCACCCTCTGCCTGGGGGCCCCCGAGCCTCAGGCTCCGCCGCGCGCGGGGCGCACCACGAGCCCGGCAACGCGCCGGTCCCCGGGCGGCCAGGCTCCACCAGCGGGCTGGGCGCGGGCAGGGCCGCGGCCGGCCGCCCTGGGCACGCGGGGACGCCCGGCGGGGGCGGCGCTGGCGGGGCGCCTGGCGCGGCCCAGCACGCGCCGGGCCCGCGGGCGCCCGTGGCGGCGGGCGGCCTGGGGCCGCACTGCCAGGCCCCAGGCGGCGCGCTGCGGGCGGCCGCGGCGGAGCGCAGCAGCACGGCGGGGGCACCGTGGTCGCGGAGCCCGCCGCCGCAGCTGGCGCAGAAGCGGGGGGCGGCCAGCGGGGCGGCCACCCGCGCACCGCACCAGTGGCAGAAGGCGCTGGGCCTTGGCAGCTGTGGCTCCGCCTCCGGCTCCAGTGCGCGCTGCGGAGTGGGCTCGGGCGGCAGGTCGGGGCCCACGCCCTGGCGGAGGCGCAGCTCTTCGGCGCCGCGCGTCGGCTGCCTCATCGACCAGCTGGCTGGGGGAGGCGGTGGGTGCTGGCTCGGGGCGCGCTGGGTGAAGGACGGGTGGATCTTCCCGGCGCCGTTCATGGTCGGCAATCGTGGGGCTGCCCGGGCGCGTCGCTCCCGACAAGGAGGCAGGTGCACGCGCTGTCGCCGCGGAGCTCTGCTGGGAAGTATACTGCACGGGACTGGCTTGGGTCAGAGCTGCAGCGGCGTGGACTCCTGGGGCCTTCGGGGGCGCTTCGTGGCACCGTGCGGGGGCACCTCGGGAGCTTGGCGGAGCTGCCCGGTAGCCTTGGGAAGCCTCGGGACGTATCCCCCGGCCCTTCCGGGTGGGACGAGAAGGCCTCGGACGAAAAAAGGCAGGGGAGAGTTGAGACTGTCCTGTTTGTTCAATGATTGTCGTTATGTGCAGGTTCTTTGCTTTGAAACAATGCATGTTGCTCCTCCTTCCTCTCATCTCCCAACGCCCCTTCCGTCCTCCGTATTCCCCCCGCGGGTCCAGCGGAGTGGTGCCCCACACGCAGACCTAAATTGGACCCCCCCGTCCCTGGGCGCTGCCAAATACAATTGTCGCCACTTTGCGCCTCTAGGGGGGTCCAGCGGAGTGGCGTCCCACGCGGGCATCATCACACCGCTCTGTTTCACGAAATGTGTCTCTTCATCCCCTTTTCCTCGTCAGCTCTCACGGGTAGGATTTCTGAACGGGCTGCATGGGATACGCGAAGCGTGGAGAATATCCACATGAAAACTTTAATATATCAGGAGAAACGTTTCATGTGCGCAGAATGTACAAAATAGCCGCAACGTGTCATATGATAACTCGAAATGTGCGAAACATGGCGTGAAATCGGCGCAGATTGCACATGACACTTGATACGTTCGCACATGTAGACTGCACAAATCCTCAATGGGAATTGCAAACTCGTCATATGAAAGATGTCTTGGGTTGACTCATTCTGGAAACGCATACTTGTCATTCGGGAGTTTTTTTACTGAGATCACCGACACTAGCTATGTACCATACAGATGAGAGGCCGACAGGTTGCACAGGTGACGCGTGATGGCCATCCCTATAGTAAACTTTCGTGTGAGAGATGCACTGGTGTCACGCGCGATCTGTATATATTACATGGAAAAGCTACATGCAGTCTGCACGGGAAGTCTACGCGGAAATGGCATAGTCTTCGAATAATAACTGTAGCGGTGCCACTTCAGAAACGCATAGCATTCATATGGCGATGGACACTCATTCAAATGAGAACTGTGTTGCTGCCATGTGGAACTTGCCATTTGTCAGCACAAACTTGACATGATAATATAGGCATCATCGAACGACCACACGAGATTTGCATGGCTTCCGCATGGGAGCGGCACAGGTTTCGTCAGAGACTTGCATCTGTATAAAGAAGTTGGTAGTTCTACGGTTCGAACGAAAGGTAGTTGCACTTTGTGTTGAAGAGCGTTGTTTTCATGCTTCCAGCTGACAGCTGACTTGTGTTGCGCATGTTGCGCGCCACGATTTAAAACTATGAAAAGCGCATGCTCTCCACGCGGAGGCTCTCGAGGCTTCGCTTTAGACTTGTATGCTGGTTCATGTGATAATGTGTAGCGTTGAATGGGGAATCGCGTCGCTTCCATATGACAGCTGTGTTGCGCTCGCGTCGTCACGACAAAGTTCTTTGACAGCAGTCGTGATTCTAGTACCAGTAGTAGTAGCAGCAGTAGTAGTAGTCGTAGTAGTAGTAGTAGTAGTAGTAGTAGTAGTAGTAGTAGTAGTAGTAGTAGTAGTAGTAGTAGTAGTAGTAGTAGTATGTCTTCGTCGAAATAGTTGTCATCATCGTCGTTGTGATAAGGAATAGAAGCATAAGCAATAGTAAGAGTCTTGGAGGCCGTAGTAATAACGGTAATAAGATATAGGTGTAATAATAGTAGAAGAAGTAGTAGTAGCAGTAGTAGTAGTACTAGTAGTAATAGTAGAAATAATAACCGTCGGATTAGTAGCAATAATACGAAGAAGGGTAGTGACAATCGTAATGGTAGTAATTGGCGTCGTAGCCGTCGTCGTAATAGTAGTCGCACGAACAAATAGTATTGGCAATAGAAGAAGTAGTAGTAGTAGCAGTAGTAGTAGTAGTAACGATAGAACTCATAATAGTGATAGTCATCGTCGTAGTAGTACTAGTAGTAGTCTGAATACTAGTAGTACTAGTAGTAGTAGTAGTAGTAGTAGTAGTAGTAGTAGTAGTAGTAGTAGTAGCAGTAGTAGTAGTAGAGGTAGAGGTAGAGGTAGTAGTAGTAGTAGGAGGAGGAGGAGGAGGAGTAGGAGTAGGAATAGTAGGAGTAGTAGGAGTAGGAGTAGTAGTAGTAAGAATAATACGGATACTCATGATCTAGTAGTAGTAGTAGTAGCAGCAGTAGTAGTAGTACGAGCACTCGTAGTAGTAGTAGTAGCAACCGTAGTAGTAGTAGTAGTAGTAGTAGTAGTAGTAGTAGTAGTAGTAGTAGCAGTAGTAGTAGTAGTAGCGTAATCGTCGTCGTCGTCGTCGCGTCGTCGGCGTCGTCGTCGTCGTCGTCGTCGTAGCAGTAGTAGTAGTGGTAGTAGTAGTAGTACTAGAGTAGTACTAGTAGTAGTAGTAGTAGTAGTAGTAGTAGTAGTAGTAGTAGTAGTAGTAGTAGTAGTAGTAGTAGTAGTAGTGGTGGTGGTAGTAGTAGTAGTAGTAGCAGCAGTAGTAGTAGTAGTAATAGTAGTAGTAGTAGTAGTAGTAGTAGTAGGTAGGAGGAGGTGGAGGAGGAGGAGGGGTTCTAGTAGTAGTATCAGTAGTAGGCAACGGCACGGCCTCCACACCTGGGCCCCCGGACGGCCTCCACACATCGGTTGCTTCTTTTGAGAAGATTATATGTGAACCGAGCGCCTGGGCATCGCCCAAGCAGCATCCAGACCTGGGCCTGCTCCGTGGCATTCCGCTAGGAATTCCTGTAGGGATTATTGGAAAGCTTCCCATAGCGATTACAATCAGGATTCCTATTGGGATTCCTATGGGGAATCCTATAGGGATTCCCATAGGAATCACAATGGGAATTCCCACAGGGCCTCCCATAGGGCTACACATAGGAATTCCCATATGGATTATCACAGGGATTCCTACAGGGATTGCCACAGGGATTCTCATTGGGGATCCTGCAGGGTTTCCCATCGGATTCGTATGGGAATACACCCCCAAACGGCCTCCACACCTCGGTTGCCTCTGTTGGTAAGATTCTCTGTGATACCAGCGCTTGGGCGTCGCCCAAGCGACCTCCACACCTGGGCCTGCTGATTGGCATTCCGCTAAGTATTCCTGTAGGGATTCTTGGAGGGTTTCCCATAGCGACTCCAAGGAGGATTCCCATCGGGATTCCTGTGAGGAGTCCTATAGGGATTACCACAGGACTCCCAATCAGAATTCCCGCAGGGCTTCCCATAAGGTTGCCCATAGGACTTCCCATACGGATTGCCACAAAGGATTCCCACAAGGATTGCCGTAGGGATTCCCATAGGGGTTCCTATAGGGTATCCCATCGGATTCGTATGGGAATACACCCCCACACGGCCTCCACACCTCGGTTGCTTCTGTTGATAAGATTCTCTGTGAACCCAGCGCTTGGGCGTCGCCCAAGCGGCCTCCACACCTGGGCCTGCTCCTTGGCATTCCGCTGGGTATTCCTGCAGGGGTTCTTGGAGGGTTTCCCATAGCGCCTACAATCCGGATTCCTATCGGGATGTCGACGGGGAATCCTGTAGGGATTGCCACAGGAACCCCAGTAAGAATGCCCACAGGGTTGCCCATAGGGTTTCCCGTAGGACTTCCCATATGGATTACCGCTGGTATTCCCACAGGGATTGCCATAGGGATTCCCGTCGGGATCCCCATAGGATCTCCCATCCGATTCGTACGTTTCGGGTCGCCCAAACGGCCTCCACACTTGGGCTTGCTCCCAGGCATTCCGCTCGGTATTCCTGTGGGGATTATTGGAATGTTTCCCATAACGACTCCAAGAAGGATTCCGATCGGGACTCCTATGAGGAACCCTGTAGGGTTTCCATAGGAGTCCAAATTCATATCGGGATTCCTATGAGGAGTCCTGTAGGGATTTCCATAGAAATCCTAATAGGGATTCCCGCAGGGCCTCCCATAGGGTTCCCCATAAAGATTGCCAGTGGGATTCCCCTCGAAAGATTTCTATAGGATTCCCCATATGAATACCCACAGGGATTGCCATAGGGATTTCCATCGGGATTGCCACTGGGATTCCCATAGAAAGATTCCTATAGGACTTCCAATCTGAATACCCATAGGGATTCCCATAGGGAATCCTGTAAGATTTCCAATAGGATCCGTATGGGAATCAACCCCCAAACGGCCTCCACACCTCGGTTGCTGCTTTTGACAAGATTATCTGTGATTGGGTTTCCCATCGGATTCGTATGGGAATCCACCCCAAACGGCCTCCACACCTCGGCTGCTTCTTTTGATGAGATTCTCTTTGAACCGAAGGAACCGAGGTGTGGAGGCCGTCTGGGGGTGGACTACCTAGGCTCTGCCTAGAAGGGTTCTTACTCTGTTGGCTTAAAGGGGCCGGGCAGTGGAAACCGCCCCGGGCGGTTCCCCCAGTCCCCTGGGAGCCAAGCAAAAGCAACAGCAAAGGTAAAAGCAAACGCGCGGTTCCCCCAGTTGCGCTCCCTGGGTGCCAAGCAAAAGCAAAAGCAAAGACAAAAGTGAAGGCCAAAGCGAAGGCAAAGCAAAAGCATAGCATAGCGCAGCATAGCATAGCGCAGCATAGCATAGCATAGCATAGCATAGCCTAGCCTAGCCCAGCCCAGCCCAGCATAGCATTACGCAGCATAGCATAGCATAGCATAGCAGAGCAGAGCAGAGCAGAGCAAAGCAGAGCATAGCATAGCGCAGCACAGCATCCACTATTGCTGCTGCTAGAGGAGGAGGACGGCGTTTACCGCGCCTACTAATGTTGCTTTCCTAGAGGCTCCAACTCCTAGGTAGGGTCGCACTGGGATAATTCTCTTTGAACCTAAGGAACCGAGGTGTGGAGGCCGTTTGGGGGTGGATTCCCATGCGATTCCTATGGGAAATCCTAGAGGCATCCTTCATGGTTGCAGCGTTGCTATCAAATTTCCAGGCACGAAGTGTCTTCCTTCTGGTAGCCA